TTAATTGCTGTTGTTGTTGCAGTGGTTGGAGGGGTAGGGGGATGATGAGGGCCTTAATGCGGGAAAAACTTTTGTCGGAGCCCGCATAAGCATGTATGTGTGCTTTTTAAGTACCGCTATGACAGGCAGTAAAAACAACTTAACTTGGCTTGCCAAGCCAAGCCAAAGCAAACCGAAAAACCCAAGGCATTGTTGAGCTGTTAATGAAAAGTCAACTTGATTTCATGCCAGACCAGCCAGGCCAGGCAGCCAGCTCCTTTGGTCCTTCGTGGCGTCCTCCTCTGTGTCGCATGCAAAGCCAATGTGCAACAAGATGGCAAGAAAAGCAAGGGCCTCTGAGCCTGAAAAAACTTTCACTTTATCATTAAGCCTGACGGGTGAACTTTTTTGAGTGGCTGCTGCTCCGTCGTGTGTGGCCAGTTTGCCAGCTTTCCAGTTTCCCAGGCACAAGCACAGGCACAGGACTCCTTTGCCTATATTGAAACATAAATAGAATTATAAATACTCTACAGGCATCGCTCGTGTGCTCGTGTGTGTGTGAAAAATCAGTTAAAGTTATTGCATGTCGTCGCAGCTCGACATAGACAAATGTTGCTCTTGTCACAAGTGGAGGAGGCAGCAGCAACAGCAGCAACACCAACAACTCCTGGCCCACCCACGTCAACTGGCTGTCTTCATGTGCCTGTTGCCAACTTGACGAAAATTGAATTTCGAAACATGCTGGCTAAAAGAAAATGTACAAAAAAGAACCACCAAAGGACTACAAAAAAAAGCACCGAAAATTGGGTGGAAAAAAAACAAAGCTCGCTGGCAAATAGAGAAACATTTCAGCGGCAACAGCAACAACAAATACCATGACAATGACAGCGTAAAGCCGGCAAATGCAGCAACAAAAGCAGCAAAAACAAACAGCCAACAAAATGGCGGCTGTTAAAATGCGAAAAACGCGTTGAAAACTGTTTGAACAACAAGGAGTTGCTGCTGTTGCAAAGGAATTGAGCGAACGCACAGCAGCAACATCGGGACACCAGCAGCAACACCAACTGTATTTAGTGCCGCCATCATCAGTAGACGAGTGTGTATGTGTGTGTGAGCTGCGCTAAGTGCCTTTGCTCTTCGTCCTTCGACTTTCCACGAAAAGCATACCCCCACCATCACCACCCTTTATTGTCCTTGTTTGCCTGTTATGTTTTTTAGCTTTACGTAAATTGCGTAAATTGTGTGCATTTTATTACGCTACACTTCATGCTGTCACGCCCCCTTTTTCCAGCCCCCGCCCATCTTCATACATCACCTCTTTCCTGCTATTTTTTTCCTTTGCAAACATTTTGCCAACTTTTTTTTGGCTGTGCTGTCAACACGAACAAAAATGTCTTCGTCAGTTTTATTAGGTGAGAACTGTGTGCGTTACTGTACTGCAAAGTGATGTGGATACATCATGTTTTTGTTGGAAAAAATGCGTAACCAGTCTCTTGATAAGCCTTCAGTTTTGACCCATTTCAAAGGGAAATTAATGTAAATTTTATTGTCCGTCTATCAGTCAGGCAAAGAGCCAATTCAGCCAACTCAGCCCATTCCCCGTCACTCACCGTCACTCTTACCTTTAATAACACATTTTTTCGGGCTAATTGATACGCCTGACGGCATCGCGTGACCAAAAACTGAACGCTAAACGACAAAGATAAACACAAGAAAAAGAAAACAAGCGGCACAAAAATAACGAAAAATACAGAAAACCAAAAATGAAATCGCAGGGCGCCAAGAAACTTCCACGCGACGGCGTTCAAGTTCATTGCCATTTAGGCCAAAATTGGCGCACGCGGAACTTGTCTTTAGCCCCCAAAAAAGCACGAAGGAAGCCAAAAATACAGAGAGAAACAGAGCCAATCGAAACCGAAAACGAAAACCAAAACAATTCGAATTTCGAATACAATGTAAAGGAAAAACACAAATAAAGGCACACACACGGCTATTTTTGGGGAACGCACGTAGCAATTGGCAGCCGCTGAAATTGTTGGTGAAAATTGAGGCATTAAATTGCACTCGATCGACGGACGGATTGTGCACACGGATCGAGAGGCCCCCTAGAATCTGAAAGCCCCCTACAGACACCCCTTTCCACTTGATAAATGCAATACGGAATTTAACGCATTTTGTTGCAATTAATTTCTGCTTCTTTTCTGGCAAATTTTTGGTTACTTGCCAACCGCGAAATTTTGATCGCCGTCGGGGAAAATCGGAATCTTTTTGAAAAGCGCAAAAATCTCACATTCCATTATCAAGTGGTTGCAAATGAGATTTTTGCCTGCCTGGGGAACTCATTGCCGTCGTAAAACACGGAAAGTGCACTCAAAATGCAGTTGAAATTGCATTTAACACATTTTCCCGGCACCATTTGCCATTTGGCCATTTGCTCGCCATTTTGCCATCGGCGGGTATGAGGGATGTTACTTTTGATTTATTTGCATGACAAACGGGTTAATTACAACATGTTGCGGCAACAGCAGCACCACCAGCAGAAGGCTAGCAAAAACAGGATTTTTATGTTATAAGCACAATTGTTGAATGCTGCATCGGACGATGATGCAACATAAAGCCGGAGCATTGTGGGCGTTGGGAAATGTGGCGCCAGTAGGAGTGTATAAACCATATTTATTTATGTAAAAATTTTTCGGCAATTGACAAGCTTGTCCCTGGTTCGTAAACGAAGTTTTGGAGCCCCCGAAAAAGCCAACTTGGCACCAGGAGGTGCAACGTCATTTATTACAAACAACAAACACAACACACACTGCACAGCACAGCGAGAGTTTCTTTGTTATTTGATTGAGCTTGAGGCTGGCATTGAGTGTCCATAATGGAATTTTTATTTATTAAATGCGAGTCTCTGTCCATCGCCCGGTGCCGTTGTGTAATTTATCACAGCCTGGCCAGCCAGAAAGGAATTTTCTGCGGGATTTAATGCCATGACAATGGGTGAGAAGCGGTGGAAAAAACCGCAACTGGATGAGGAGGTCGAGGGGGTTTCGTGTGGAGTGTGGCAATGCATAACGCATTAACAAACGGCTTTCAGCTGCATATTGGCTTTTGTGATTAACGCTCACACATGCAGAGCGTCGAATGCATAAAAACATTGATACTCTTGTTGCTGAAAACGGGCTATCGATGCCAGCTGTTTAACCCTTGTTTAAGCGTAAAGAAAATATAATTTAAAAGTTGGAATTTTAAAATAATTTTTTAAAAATATAAAAATTCCTGCTCGGGCGCCATTGGCCATTTTGCAAAGCTAAGTATTTTAAGTTTAAACGATAGTGAGGTTTAAAAAACTCTTACAAAATATCATTAATAAAAATACCAGCTCAGGCGCCATTAAATAAATTGCACTATTAAATATTTTCAGTTTAAAAATTAGTGCAAAATCAGTGTAAATTGTATACTCTTTAAAAGCCCTTCCCAATGGGTTAACTGAGATATATATATTTTATTTAATATTGTAACGACTGTTAAATGCCACAAATTGTTTAATGCCTCGCGTTGAACTCTACCCATTCCCTCGTCCTATACCCACTCCCCCAACTCCTCCAGCGATGGCAACTCTCCGGCGTGCAACCACCGAGCGATTTATGCAAATGCAACCAATGCACTTAGCGCCGTTAAATAAACAAAAGCATTATCAGCACCAGCTACAGCAGCAGCAGGCAGACACAGAATGCAAAATGCAGAATACAGAAATGCAAGACAATGCATTAAATTCCCTTTGCGATGTGCTGATGTGTGGAGAGAAGCCACAGAGCGGCAGCGGCAGCAGCAGCTACACACATCAAAAATTCACTATGGAACTTATCTAAATGCACTAAATTACACATTAAGCAAGTATCTTAAATCAAGACCTGCACACAGTCGCAGTCTAAGCGCATAAAGCCCATAAACAACAAGAACAAGCCGGGCAGAATGCAAATTTGCATTCGAGGGGGGCAAAGTAAACAAATTGAGTTGGCATGGTCAGGGACTTGTAGGTCTGGAGATTGCGGACTTATAGACTAGCTGCACTCCACTGGCTGCTTAATTTGCGTGCGAGCTTATATTTTTTTGCTCCCACTGTTTCTGCTGTTGTGCCTGTGCCCTCCATCGATTATGTAAATGCGAGAATTTCCATTAAATGCATTGAATTCCATTACGAACGCATCACCATCATCATTACTATCATCATCACCATCATCGTGGAGATGATGTAGTAGTGAATGAACGAGCGAACGTTGTAAAGCAGCCAACGGATTCCAGATTCAGTGGCGGAGATCTCGGCTCTGGGCTCCCATTGTCTTGCGGTCTTGCGAATTTATAGCTCGGCAACTGCCGAGAGTCCGGCACAATGAAGTCATTTGCTGTGCTGTGGAATGTTCGCCGAGCGCTGGCAAGTGAAAATGCCTGGCTGGCCCCGAATATCGTAAATCGTTTACTGGCTGTCCGCCTGTCTGTCCGTTTGTCTGTCCGTTTCTCGGAGGTATTTTCATTAGCCAAACACAAATTGAGGCAACACGACACGACATACAAAACCGAAAGAAAAACACTTAACATCAACACGAAAAAGACTAAGCAAGCAACAAGGCTAAAAATGCAGGGAGGAGAGGGTTTGGGCCAAGTCGGAATAAACACGGCTCAGATCGGCTCAGGTGAGTTCAAGCGGACTGAGCCAAAACCAACAGAAACTACTGTTTAAATATCACTGGAGCCATGGATTTCTACCTGGTTCACCCTTTTTTGAAAACGTTGGCCAAATGACCAAACAGAAGCTTACAGGTATTTATTACGGGTTAGGGAAGGGGGTAAAGGGGTAACGGGGCAAAGGGGGAGGATAATTCGTTGGCCTGTCCAGAGGACGTGTGAAAATTTCTATGTTGGCCTGCGGCATTTCAAAACTGCAGCTGGCGCAAATGTGCATTCAAATGGATCTTTTGTTTGCCGGCTTTCACTGCCAACGCCGCCGCTTCGCATTTGTAGCATTTGTAGCATTTGTATTTGGCAACGCATTTCACACTTTGAGTGGTGAAAATCTCTCTGACGCACAACTCAAAAAAACTGGGCAACTGTAACCGAAAACCGAAATCATTGGAAAATCTGTGAAAATGTCGACGGAAAATAGAGAGTGCGATGATGAATTTGAGCGGCCCAGCAGGACCCTGGTTTTGATAATCTTCACCCTCGCCGTTTTCCTGAAGTTGTGCATCATTCTGGTGGAAATTATGGTGTGAGGGCATTACCTGCAAGGAGACAAGGGAAAAGGTCGTAATTAGTTGCTGTTCTCCTTACATTTTCCTTCTATATAAAGATAAGTGTAAACAAAGAGCTGAAAAGAAGCGATTGATTGGGATCAAATGGTGGAGTCACTGGAGTTTTAGTTTGATCTCTCCTTTCACAGGAGTCGCATTTCACCGAGGGTGAGTTGCCTTTCTGTTTCGCTTTGCCGCTTCTTTGTTGGTATTCGATTACAAAAAGGTTCTCATTATTAGCATTTGACTTTTCCCATTTCCCGCTCAAACAAAACGTAGGAGTCTGTTGGAAAAAAACCGCAAGGGTAAAAACATAATTTCATTTGGCCTGCTGTGCGGAACAGTGAAAATAATTTGACAACTTACTTAAAAATATGTCACATGAAGAAGGTCAAAACTTGGTCAGGCAGCCGTAAAAAAAGGGTTGCCCCGCAGTCCCCCCCAAAAAAAAGTAGCCTCAAGTAGCGTCGCTTGTCTGGAAAATCAAAATGAAAATCCAAAAAGGGAGCAACTTTTATTAAAAGCTGTCAGCGCGGCAAAACCCCAAACATATTGCCCCGGTAGGGTTTCATTTTTCCTCAGCCAGCCCCAAAAGTTGAAACGTCATCGTGGCTTCATTACGAATTCTTCGAATGCTTCTCACCTTTTGGGCTGCTTGTTTTTTCTACAGTAGGGCCAAAAAGTTTGTTGCCGCGTGTCCTTTGATCAAGTTCCATGCGAGGAGTCGCCGCCACACATTCCCGTTTTCACCTGTCTGGCGGCCAGCAGCTGCTCTTTGATGTCCTCCCAGCCAGGACGAAAAAGGACGAAAAGTGGGTGCTAAGGATAAGCCACGAAAGAGCGCATCAGGCATGCATAAAGCGAAGGCCCAAATTAACTCAATTGACAAACTTGGCTGACAACTCGCAAAAGGGTTCAGCTAACTCAGTTACTCGTCCTTGGAGGAAAAATGGAAGCCTGATATGGATATTGCCACACACAATCCCTAATTAGAATCGATTTGGCTCGAGGGAGAGCGACCCTTTTACCCTTCCCTTGGCCCATCAAAAAACAATTAACAATCTGAGGCACTCAATAAAATATTTAAATGCTAAAGTAAAGTAAAGTGAATCTGACGAGGTGAACCCTTTTTTTCCAGCCGTTCTCGTCCTCCAAGTAAAGTGAAAAAGGAACCCAAAGCGAGGGCAAACAATGATAAATTACAAATGAAATTGTAAAAAGGCGCAACAGCCAAAGGAAATTAAGAACAAAGAAAGCGGAGGACGAAGAACACGCCGAGCAATTAACGCCGACAGAAAGGTGCCACGCCTCCTTTCTGGGGGGGCGGCCTCCATGGCCATGTCGACTCAATGATTACTTTCGCCTTTGATTAATTTGAGCTCATCGATATTCCCGATGTGCAACCCTTTTTGCCGAACCGAACATTCGCCGCTGGCCTAATTGCTTGCCTAATTTAATTGCCACGAGTGTAATTTGTGCCGGCCAACTGACAACTGTGACAATCGACAGACGACCGACGACAGCCCCATGAAAGTCGAACCCAGGACTTTTCGATCCGACTTTTGCCCTTTGGTCATATACTTATTCCATTCGCCGGACTGCAGCTCTCTAATCAGTGCATTTGATTAATGGAAACTTTACTCCACTACCTTTTTTTTCTATGGGTGGAAGGTGTGTTCAAAACACCTCGGAACAAACCACAAAGTCATTTCCGCACTTTTCGGCCAGCATCATTAATTACAAAAACCAATAAAAGTGTTGGCCGAGCATTTAGGCCAAAATAAGTTGTCATCATTAGTAACAGTTACAAGTTGGCCAGACAAACAGCCAGGAATATAAAAAAGGCAAGGGAAGAATTGCTACACTTGAAGAATTTGACTAAGGGAATGCTCTTAAAGGAAATAAAAACCATAAATATTTAGGATAAAATATAATAACACAAAATTATCAAACCAATTTTTCAGGACTTAAATCCTTAAGAACTTTTCAAAGCCAATACCAAAAGATGAAATATAAATTAATACAAATATATTTTTAATTGAGAACCAAATAGTTAAAGGCTATAAAAAGTTCCTTTATTTAAAAAAAAACATTTTAATATACTGTTTATTTACCCACCAACCCAAAACCCTTCACATCCTTTTGCGATAAATACCCAAGGATAACCGAGATGAATTACGGGAAACTGACAAAGACAAGGAGCCTCGGTTACTGGCAAACAAATTGCCAACAATTGATGAATGTCTGGTAATGAGACGCGCTTCTCAACACGGGCCGAAATAAAATGCGAAGAAAAATCTTAAGCTAAACGCAACTAAAACTCTGTCAAAAGTTGGGAAAAAGGGGCAGAGAAATGGGGGAGATCTAGGCGCCAGGCGAAGGAAAATGGCCTTTTGTATTGGGCCTATAAATAAATAGGCTTTCCAATACACACACACTCGCACTTGTACCGAAGCCATTCGGAAAGCAATCTGTGTAAAAGTAACGTAGTCATTAATCATTATCATATAAACATCAATTGGTGTTTAGAGTGTTCGATAGTCGGGGGTAAGCAGGAGAGTTCCGAGGAGTGGAGGGGTTTCTCCTCCTCTTTTTTGGGGCTGCATGTCTTGCCCAATGTTATTGATTGGCCATTCAGTTGGTATCGAAGTCGTTGGCCCTCTCAAGGAGTGCAGACAGCCAAAAAAAAAATGAAGAAGGGAAGAGAAGAACGTAAGAAATCGAAATGAAATTTACCGTAAATAAAAACATACCAGAATGGAGGGAGTTGAATGTAAGTAGAATGAAAAATTTAATTTATAACTGTATATATATTGGCCGTTTCTTCCGCAGCAACTTCCACTTCCCTCGATTGGCCCCAAATAAAGCGAAAATACGAAGAAAAAATGTTTGGGCAGCAGGGAAGCTGCTTCAAAGGTTTCCTGTTTGGTCCGATTCAATGCATTAAGGCGAAATCATCTTAGCCGAAATCAAATAAAAGCGACAGACACACACAAAAAAAGATGAGGAATAGGAATGGGGGACAAACTATGCTGGCCAAGATATAAATCAACCGAAATAAGACAAATTTTCGGAAGCAAGTTGCGGAGTCTCTTCAGCTGGCACCTAATCAAAGGAGCCGACAGCGAGAGACACAGAATTACATGTAATCAATTTGTCATAACAACCATCGGGGGTATTTCTATATCTAAGGATGTGTCTTTTGCCGAGTCATTTAGTGACAGTTAACCTTGAACCTTTTGAGACCAAAAACGAAATCGAAACCCCCTCAAATGAGGCGCAAATCTTAAAGAGCACATTTATCATCTGCCACATGCGAGATCTTCATACTCATTAATATTTCATATTTATTTCAAGCTGCTGTTTTTCTTCTTATTCACAACTCGATAAAGACTGCCGAGAAATAAACTTATCTGGGCTTGAAAAAAATTCCCATTTTCTGCTTTCATCTCCTTTGAAATGTGTATAAATATAAAAAGTCAAGTATTTCCTTTTTTATCAGCCAGCGGAGCAACAACAAAATTCCTTTCGCCTGCAGAGCCATCAATCATTATCATTCGAGGCCTATACATATACTTCCGAGTTCCATCCTGTTTGGGCTCTATCTTGTTCTGAGTCAGAGAGACCTCCCATTATTTGTATATACTTACATATATTTAATTTCTTTTCAATTCAGCTCTTCCTCTTCCCCAATCGCCGCCACTTGATAAATTGCTTTCGCTGGGATCAATCCATCGAATAGGCGATATTTTATTTGGCTTATTAATTTTTCTATATATATATTCGAGTCTGGTGACCGCAGATTTCAATTACAAAGTGTCACGGGCAACAAGGGCGAAAGATGAGTTTTAATAGAATTTAACTTTAAATGGGAAATGCTTTCTCTTCCTCCATCTCTCTTGCTCTCGCAGCATTTTCAATTTGTTTAATGCAATTGGGGGAACTTTCCATCTGAAAAGCGCGTCAATTGATGCACTTAGGCGCTAAGATCTCTTTACACAAAAGGCGGACACAGTTGGGGTGTGTAAATTGATTTCGTTTTTGGGCTTGCCCTCGCACAGACAGTGTGAAATATGTATATAACTCGGAAATGGGGGGATGGGATACCCCAGACGTTTTGGATCAAGGGGTGCCACTGTTTCGAATGGGTCTTCAAAGTGCATTCGATTCCCAGGCCCACGAAACATACATATAACCCACTCCCTGAGAACGCATTCTTTCGTGATGTTATATGAGCTGAAAACTGTTTGAATGGATGATTAACATATATGGATGGGCTTGGGTATTTTGGAAGGCGAAACGAAACGAAACGGAGCGAAACAAAACAAATTCGTTGTTATTGTTGCTTGTTTGTTTCCTCGCTGGCGCAAAAAGGCCTTCGAGTTGATATGGAGCATATGAGCAGCACAAAGGGTTCGCCTGATTCAACAAGCCCCTCTGATTCACGCCTTATCAGCCCCGCAGGAAGCGCTGCCAGTCAACAGTCCTCTAACCCCAACTCCAAACCCTTAACCCACGGTCGCCTCCGGCGGCCAGCATCGACATTTTAGCACCCAATGCCAATGCTTCGACACGCCCCTATCATTGTGCAAACATCGACACCATGCTTAAACTATAACAAAAGGCGTTTGGCCCTCTGCAATTGCAGAGAAAACATAACATAAAGGAAAACTCTTGGAAAATATTGAGAAATAAGGGAAAACAATTTACCGCCATATGCGAGCAGGCGGGTCGTCCTGATCCCTTTTATGGTCAATGTGTCAGCCACCGAAAATTGCTTTTGTATACCCAAACATGGCACACATAGCACAAAACAACACACACACAAATTTCACTTATCATTGTCGCCTATGGCCGGGAATTAGGAAGTGTTCGGCGGGCGAACGGAAGACGTTGGGCGCCAGTTGGTCTTATCACTTATCAGACAAACGGGCAGACGACAGCCGCCTGTGGGCCTCTCCAAGGTCGCAGTTCAGTTCGAGCCC